TATTAAAAATGGTATAGCTGATAATTCCATGTAAAAATTTGAGTTTATCACTGTTTCTGCTTGATTTGAACTTTCAGGCGTTTATTTAAAAGAAACTAAACTTAGAATAAATTTTGTTCTATCTGTTGTTCTATGGTCGAATGTATTGCCTATATAAAAGAAAAAAAAAACAGATAAAATGTGCCCATGGAAAGGAGAAAAGAGAGAAGAAAAAAAGTGACAGAACAGAAAAACAGCCTAAATTCACTATAAGAAATTGTAGAGACTGTGGTGACACATGAAAAACTCAAGATGTAATTATAAGAAGCCCGCTGTCGGATTCGCCTTGAAATTCTGCATATACCAGCTTAGTTTCATAAAGTTTGGTCTGGCGCGGAGCTTGCACCTAATTTTCTAATGCTAGCAATATGTATACAAATTGAATAGAATACTAATAATGAGTTTTGATAACGATATATGAAGGTTAAACATGATTTTTTTTCTAACTAGGGCAGTTAATTATACAATTCCAGCTGTACAGAAGCAATCTTAACAATTACCTGATAATATAAAGACACTCTCCTTTGCATTTCCATATCATATCTATCTGCCATATCATGTTATACATAAACACAGTACAAAATCCCAACGAAACAGTTGAAAACCGAAGAAACTGACTGTTAACTTAGTTAACCATGTAATACATCTGATAAAAAAGCGTTTCTTGTTCTTCAGTATTTTGAATAAGTATGGTTACATTAATTCAACGTATGCCTACTAAAACAGAGAAGTTAATGTGTGTTTTTGACTATTACACGAAACTTGATTTATGAAATATGGTTCTCTTATTAGGGATCCGTTAATGAACGATGGAGCATTGGCTTATAATCAATTTTTACCATCCAGACTTCCACCAATGTCATCTTTTACCGTCGAAGCAGTTAGAGAACAAGCAGAATTAATTGCCAAAAAAGTTAATGAAAAACTTTCCCATACGTTCATACGGTATGTCCTTTGGAAGCAAATAGTTAACTGACATAAAGAATTTGAAATTTTAGCGGGTTAAAAAATTCAACAGTGGAAATCCAAGCATAAAAAATGTATCCGGTATCGCCCGATGCAGCTAGATATACTAGATACAAAACGCGATACATCTAGATGCGTAAGAAAGAGAAAACGTTGAATGCGGGTATCGGCCGACAAAAAAAAGCTTAAAAGCTTTTAAGCTTTTTTTTTGTAAACATTCAGTAGCTTCAATCTGCCATCTGTTAACATAAACTTCTATATTTGCCTATTATATTCATCTAGTAGGTACGTACACCTTTCGAGAATTGTTCAGAAAAACCCTTTTCGTCTACTAGACGAATCTGATGAACAAAAGTATTCAGTTAAAGCCAGTTAAAGTCATCCGATGTTTACAAAAAAAAGACTCAAGCACTAGGAACAAGCAAAAATCCAGCGGCAAAAGAATTTTAATTATCCCACACTGGAAAAAAATGGTACAGTACGTTGCTTAAAACAGGTTTCGAGAATTGAAACCATTCCTACACCTTTTTATATATCGTACGAATCTACAAAATCTTATTAGGGTTAATATGGTTTCGTAGATTCGTACGATATCCAAAAAGTGTAGAAATGGTGTCAATTCTAGAAACCCTTGTTTCTTTTCCAGTGCACCAACATTCTTTACAGATCAGATGCAGAAGTTGCAAATCTGTCAAGATTCTGATTCAGAATTCTTGAAATATCTTGACAAGATCTGCTCAAGGTCTATCACGACAGATTCTGATACAAAACTTGTGAAAAATCTGCAACACTGCTCTCCATTCAGAATCTTCAAAGACTCCGATAAATCTGCACAAGTTCTTGAAAGCGAAACTTGAGAAATCTTTAAAGATTTATCAGGGTCTGCATTCAAGATTTTTCTTCTGGGTAAGCTGGTGCGGGGGATCAATTCATTATGCAGTATGTACTTAAATACTATGCTTATCACTTAACGCTTCCCTTTGGGTGAATTTTTGTAGACTCATTCTTTACAACACTTTTTTTAGTGTACCTTTTCGTGGACGTTTTCTATTAGCCGCTTTTTTCGATGCTTTTTTTCTTGCCATGCAGAAAATAAACCGTATGGAAATCGAGTTCTTTATCCAGTAATTTACATGTTGACCAAACATGTTGGTTGCTTGGGCCAGGAAAGTTATAGCTTTGGGAAAAACTTAGACAGATTTATTCACAACATATTGTAGTATTGAAAATTTCGTCAACGTGCTCAAAGGCAGACATGTTTGAAAGAGTTTCATTGCTGAAGACGAAAGAAAAAAAACGATATGCCAGTGGGGAGAATCGAACTCCCATTGTTCGGACCACAACCGAACGTTCTACCACTAAACTACACCGGCAAGTATGTATAACTGCAATGCAATACCGATTCTTGACAACTCACAAAATAACATTCCAGGGCATTTTTGCATTAAACGTTTCTATTGTCTTGAAAATAAAAATTATAAGTTTAGGAACGCCGACTTTTTCTTAAAATGTTTTAATTAACTGAATAAATATGAAATTAAAATCAGTTGTTGTTATTGTTTTATCAATTATGAAATTTCTACATCTGAATAAATATAAAGTATTAATTATAAGTATATTAATTATTAAGTATTAATAATTATAAATATATTTTAATTTCATATTTATTCAGTTAATTAAAACATTTTAAGAAAAAGTCGGCGTTCCTAAACTTATAATTTTTATTTTCAAGACAAT